CTGCATTAAAGGAAAATTTCATTGTAAATAGCAGTTTTATTCATTATGTTCTAACTCCAGTTGTCAGAAGCTTGGATCTTTTTTTCCCTTTACTTCAGGAACAAAATAAAGCCAGGTGTCAAGAAGCCCAGTCTTTTTTCCACTGTCTCAGGGAATCCCATTGCAGAGGTGCAAGGGAGTTTAGGGAAGGAAGTTCCAAAGGGAGAAAAATATGTACTTGGACAAGCAGAATATACTGTGAGGAGACCCTGCCCCTGTTGCTCTAGCATGTCCCAACCCCACTGGCCTGGGCTCTCTCTGGGCTCTCTCTGCAGCAGACAGCACCCATCCTGGTACCTCAACTTGGCAGGCAGGCAGTACCTCAGGAAGTTCCAGGAGGGGCAGGCCTGGGGGGCAAGATTCTCCAGGCACCCTGAACTGGGTGCAGGCCCCTGGTCGCTCATGGCTCTTGAGGCATCAGGAGCTCCGTGCATGTCCCTCAAGCCCTAAAGTGGAGACTCAAAACTCCTAATGGCAGGAGATACTGCCCGGATGCTGGAGGGTTCTGGAGCCTGCACTAGAGTTTATACACACAGGATAGAGTTTATACACACAGGCTGATGGTGGTGAGGTGGGCCACCTGGGTAGGGGAGCCTTATCTGCCACTGGCCCCTCCTTTGCATATTCACAAGACTGAGCTCCTCCTCCACTCCTGAAAACAGCAGAGAGAAACTGTGTTATTCATAAGGAAGCCTCTCAGGCCCAGGAAGTCCTAGATGATTATTCATGAGGAAGTGTGGCCTGCCCAGGGAGGCCTGTATGATTATTCATAAACTTGAGGGATGCGGTTTGGGCTGGAAAAGGTCACAGGTGCCCAGGTGAGAGGGAGGCATCTACCGGCTGAGGTGAGCACCATCCAGAGACCAGGTCTCTGGAGAAAGGGCACTTGGGCATTGTGAGGCTGGAGCTCTTCATTTTAACAGTTTTTTTTTTTCACTCTTACTTGAGACTTTAATTTTAAAGTTTTTCCTTAAAGTCCAAAATTTTCTCAGGACAAGCAGAAATGCCAGTCTGATCAGGGGGCAAAGGGGAGGCTGTAGGTAACATCATAACCATAATGTGTGGAGGAAAAGCTCCACACATTACAAGAAGGATATGGTGAAGAAAACAGAAATGCAGTGTGTCATCTGCATCCCACTGTCTAGCAGCTTTAGGATTCATTTTTGAGAAGCTTTGGGAATGGGCCTGGGTGAGGACTCAGCAGCATAATTTGTCCTGAGGCAGGCAGCCAGGGACTCTGCACTGGGAGGAGGTGCCTGTGGAGGTTTGGGCATTTTCTTGACCTGGCCAGGTTCTCTCTAGTCACTGGCATGTTCCCACCAAAACCAGTGCTTGCTGCAGACCAAGAAATGAGCCACCAGTCCCCCCTGGAATGAACTGCACTCCTCTTTCTCCTTACAGAGGATTTGCCCTCTGTAGAAGTCAGTCATCCAAACAGGCCAGTTTAGCAAGTGTAGTGGGACTCAAGATTGGCCAATCACCAAAATGTGTCAGGTGTGCAGAGCACTCACTGGCTGTGCTCATCTGGTGAAAACATAGGAAGAGCTTTTTAGTTGTCCCTGAAGGGGTTTTAAATCTCATTAGAATGAGAATCCATGCTTTCCCCTGTGGACTCTGAGTCCCTCAGCTTCTAATCCTGTAGGATGCCTAGCACAAGGCAGTTGCCTACAGAATGCTGAATGAGTAATTGAAGTAGCTTGAAAAAGATCTTTCAAGACCAAGAAGACTTGTGGAACACATGCTGGTAAAATCATTTCCTGCATTCTCATATTTTATCATTGATATAGTCAATCATTAACCCTAACCCGAGCCCTCCTAACTGTTGTCCACAATTCCTGATATTATTGGTACAACTGAACCTTCTGTACAAAAAAAATACAGTTAGACCATATGAGGCTTTAGGAATTTTGACTTTTATTTTTTTCCATTCTGATTGGTAAGTCTTTCCAAACTAGTGACACATCCATTTTACTTCTTATCCATGTATCCTCAAGGGTAAAAAATGCACACTACCTTGCCTCTCCTCACAATGAAACCTGTGTCAGAACAAGTATTACCCTGTACATATATATTTTCATGTTGGTTGGTACCAATTCTTTATCACAACCCTCAGCATAAATTTGGACTGAAATAGAAATGCAACCTAACCAGACCTCCATCACTAAATCAGTATATGCATGAAAGCATATGCCCTAATAAGAATAGTTATGTGTAGTTTCAATGCTATCAATTAAATTACCCATGACATATACTGATGTTATTTTAGGATAGACCCATGTCTCATGTATGTACAGTCCACAAATTATGAGATATTGAATATATGAGTAACAGTCTACTCAGAAGAGCAATGAAAATGTGTGTGTATGTGGACTCTAATGCATATGTTCACAAGTGCAATAATAGTAATATTCACATTTCCTGGAATACACAATCATTTTCTCCTACTCACACATAACCCATTCAATATCAAATAGTAACCCTAGTTTTACTGCTGTCCGTATACCTAGTTTATGCACTAATCTATATTCTTATAAGATTATATGGGCTTTTTTTTTTTTTCTGGTAAAATGTTTACTTCAAAGAAATTTTTATATAGGCTGAGGCTAATATATTCAAGAGTATAAACATTTTTTCCTTTGGATTACCTAAAAACAAACTTTTAAAGTATCATATTTCAGATGACTAAAAATATAGCCAAATCTGTCACAACACAACATTGAAGGTAATGGACAATTAGAATATTTTAAATTAACATTAACAAACCATCTACATCAAACCTTGTTTCCAACTAAAACCAAAACAAATGCACAACAATCCTGTAGTGTACCACATATGTATTTCAATTTACTGTATGCAATCTAACAAAAAATTTGGTCATAATTTACCAGATATACATAAATGATTTAAGTAATAAAAGGAAATTCAGTTTCAAGAGAATAAGTTCATATCTTGAGGAAAAGTAAAAGTACATTAAGAATGTAAAGCCAAGTCCAGTTTCTATGCAATAAGTGAACTATAGTCTAATAAAGCAGACTTAGGTGATTTTTTTTAGATATTTATCTTTGCTCTTTAATATATATTTATATATAGACAGATCTACCGATTGTAAACTATGGTTTATTTTAAAGGAAGGGGATAAATGGGATGAAAGAAATCTTTATACTATACTTACATTATTCACAAAGCAGAACATTTTACGCTTAAAATACTTTTTCATTCATAGTATCTTTGCCCAACTAATTTCTACTTTGGACCTCACTAGAATTACATTTTACTTATTTGTCTAGAACACTGAGAATAAGATGTACTCTTCAGTTTTAAACAAACAAAAAAATCAAACCAAAACTGTTCATCTGTCAGGCTTATAGTTATGAGGAAACTGTAATAAAGATGACAAAAAGTTAGTTACCATGTAACTAACCTTTTATTTCTGATTTACCCAAGCAGAAACATCACTAACATTAAACCATTATTCTACTGAAATCAGAGACAATGAAAAAGCTTGTCTCTTTAAAAAAAAAAAAAAATCAACTTTTCAACTTTGATTAGATGGAGCACCAAAAGAATTTATCTGTCAAAGCATCTTTGCAAAAATTTCCACACAGCTAACATAATTTAGTTACCTGATATAAAATAGGAAAATATACTCAATTTTTATTTAAAAGAAAGCTGAAAATGATGTCCCTCAATCTTATATATTATGCTCCTGATAAATGTCCACATTAATAATAGGTGAAATGTTTCTGAGACTTCCACATATAGCAATTCATTCATCACCAGGCTAAATAATCTAATAATTACAACTTAATATATCACCTCCTTTGTACCCTAAAGAACTTAATAAAGCCTCTCAAAACTTTATTTATAAAATAAAGACATTTGTAGATTGTTGAATCATGGGGACTAGTAAGACTATATTCAAGGTGTAGTGACTTTGAAGAATGGAAAAATAAATTAACCATAATTTCAAAACACTCAATATCCGGTAAGTATGAAACAAAAGAGAATGAACATTTTGCGTTAATTTTAATGATAAGGAGGGCACAGGAGTAAAAACCTGATATTTCACTTATATTGCATAACAAGCTAACCAAACTGGACATGGAGGATAAATTATAAAACAAATCATTTTACTTATTGTTTCTGACTTTTTTTGATCAGATTTCTGTCTTTCAAATAAGGCTGAGGTATAGTACACTGGCAAAAATAATAAGAGGCAAACAAGAATAGTGCCAAAGTAACAGATACCCAAAACCAAATACCATGTCAGAAAACGTCATATAGTAACCATTTATCAGATTAGAGCAGCAGGAGAAAGTTACTTATAAATCATAATCATTTTAGTGGTATTTGTCAACTTCACCATGGTAACTCTGCAACATCATTCTTCATTTGTGAAGTAGTAAAATTCATGTCAAAAAAAGGAAAGAAGGGTTGGGGGAAGTCAGTTAGTTCATTCCAATAAATTACCTCTCCAGTTCTTATAAACATGCCCATCAGCACAAAATTGAGAAATACCTAAGACCAGAAGAGACTTGGTTTAAGTTATGAAGCAAATTAAAATGGAAAAATACAAGAAAATAGAACCATTGGGGTTGAAAAAGCCCCTCACTGAAAATCTGTATTAAAAAAAATAAAATTAATAAAAATAAAAATAGAAACAAAACTCTACTAGTACAAACTAGCCTGAGTGGTTTGATGGACAAAGTGATTGGGTCAACTGTCACTGTACTTCCATAAATGGATTTTCTTCACTCATGTTAAAGTGGCACATGAATGTAAGCTCTATTAAGGATAGGTACTATATTTTCATAGTACCCAAATAGTTACTGTATATCCTATAAATAAAAAATATTTTACTTTGTTAACTGAATATGTGGGGACTCCATGTAATCCAACCACATGGTTGTTTGCTGTATAGTCCTGTGCAAATATATATATATATATATATATATATATATATATATATATATTTGCTATAAGGCTTTGACCCTACAGTTTTCACAGCAACATAACTACCATCCAGCATGTACCATATTTTGCAAGCCTTCAAGTTCAACAATCCAAATTGTCGATTCATATTATGTCCAAATGCAGCATCCTTGAGGAGTATAGTAGCAGGTCAGTTAATTATCCAGAGACATACAGACATCTCCTGATTCATCCCATCTAGATGGATCATTCTGATCTTCTCCATCATCAACCAGCTCTTCATCAGCTTCTCCTACTTCATTCTCCTCATACTCTTCATCCCGAGGGAATTCTGTATCCTGCCCCTGATCTACACCTTCTTGCCCTCCTGGTTGTGATTTATCTGCACAGTCTACACAAACACCATAGCGTCGAGATCCATGTCTTATTCCAACACTGGCTGCTAACATGAAGATCTTCTTACACACCATACATTTGTATTTTTTATCCTTTTTATGCACCAGGGAATGTCTTTTTACATGTTCTCTACGAGTAAACAGCTTTCCACAAATATCACAGCTAAATGATCTCACTCCCGTATGAATGAGCAAGTGCCTTTTTAGTGTTCGTCTGTATTTGCCTACATAGCTACAATGAGGGCATTTTAATTTGTTCATGATTAGAGATGATTCACCATTTTCCCAAGTTTCTTGTTTTGGCCACGATTCTGGCAATAATCCATACTTGAAATCATTTGAAGCACCTGGTAGCAATCCATACTTGAAATCATTTGAAGTACCTGGTATTAATCCATACTTGAAATCACTTGATGGACCAGGCATCAAACCATACTTGAAATCATGTGAAGTACCAGCATCACCTCCATCTTGACCAGAGCAGGCTTCAGCCAATAAATTTGCATTCATATTCCTATCACCATCAGGCCCTGAGAGTAGAGCACCATCCAAATCTGGTTCCTCCTTAATGATTAGGGTCTTATTTTCTTCTGGATAGGCAACAGGTGGCTGCATCGCTGAGCAATCTTCTAAATTTGTTTCATTATTAGGTGGTATATTATAAATAAATCTCTTTGTAGTTTGGTTTTTCCTCCTTGTTTTGCCAGTGTCTTGAATTCCCTGGGAGACCATGTTATTCCAAATAAATACTTTTGTTTGACCTTGAGATTCATTTTCAGCCAATTCAGGAGAACCATCCTGGACCCAATTACTGTCATTCATTTGGTAGTTTTCTATTTGGCCCTCGTCGACATTACAACCATCATTTTCAATTTTTATATTACTTGCCAAATTGGTAAGATTCCGTGTTGCCCAAAAGCTGGCAATTTTTTGATCCCGTGAAGACAGACCATCTCTATTAACTGGTTTTCTGTTATTGTAGTCCACAACTACAGACTCCGGAGCTTCTGATTTAATGCTTATATTTAAGGCATCTTTAATGAAATTTCGGCAAGTTTGAACAACTTCACTCATTTGAAGGTAGCTGGCCACTGTCATCACTTCAATGGCATTTTGGCTTGTGAGCACCAGGTTACCAGAATACAAGAAGTCCAAGATGACTGAAAAACCTTGAACTGCAGCAATATCTAAATGGGTAGTATTGTTTTGGTTAGGGCTTTCTTTGTTTGAAACGCAATATAAAGTCTTAAAGAAACGGCTGCCTGCAACCAGGATGTTCTTATGAGCTTTAAAGATTTTCCCGCTCACCACAATGCTGACATCACAAAGAATGTCTTTCTTTCTCTGTTCATCTAGTTGTGGAAGAAGTTGATAACAATAAGAGTTCTCATTTGGCCTACTATTAAAGTCACAGTACCCCTCCTCTGATGGAATTTCTGATTCCTTAATGGTAGGGCACTTGCTTGGCATGTGTAAGGTCCAGGATTCAATCTCCAGCACTGCCCAAATTTAAAATTCTTAAACAAATCTTGTATTAGATGTTTGCCTGGGCGTTGGCTTCGTGGAGTTTGTGCTCGGTGGAGACGTGGTGCCTCAGAAGCAAGGTTTTCTTGTAGTTACGGGTCCCTCGAGAAAGCTCATCGTGCCCCACTTGCGGAAGATCCACGCTTCCCCCATCATCAGGGGTCTTTTGGCACCAGCCGCAAAACATAAGGCCAGTATCCTTTGAATATCGCAGCCAGGGAAAATCCTTGAGCCAGGAGGTCTGGAAAGAGCACTGTAGCTTCTGCATTAGGGACTTGGGCCGCGCGAGCGGGAAGTGCTGGACAGTCTCTCCTTCGCCAGCTCCCACACCGCTGCCCTCCGCTTCATCCCCACCATCGCCGCCCGACCGCCTGCTGCTGCTGCAGCTGCCGCCTTCCGCCCCACTGCCGTCGCCCAGGCTCGCCCCCTCCTCCTCGTCCTCGGTGCTGTCGCTCAGGGACGCGCCGTCCTGCATCAACTCCTTCCCCTCCAGCGCGTCAAGCTCCAGATCCACAGCCGCCGGCCCTCGCCCATTGAAATGCCTCAGGGGCCACGCCGAGGTCTCCGGGCGGCCGCGGCTACTGCTATTGTTGCCGAGACCCCCGCCGCCACCTCCTCGGAAGGCCAGAGTCCGACGGTTCCTTTCCGCTAGCAAAGGGCCCCCCGAGCCACCGCCGCCCAGCGAGGTGGGGCCGACCGCGTCTTGGGGGAGCAGCAACTCCTTGGTTTCCTCGGCGGCGGCGGCCGCCCCAGTGGAGGCCTCCAAGTGTTGGGGCTCCAGGCCCTCCAATTCCGTTTCCTCGTCGGCCCCCCGCCCATTGGGCTGCTGAAGCGCGGGCGGCGCTGGCGGCGGGGGCTGTCTTGGCTGGGGCTGCTGAGGCCAAGCCGAGGCCTCCCCGCCAGCGTTATTGTTCGTGGAACCGCCGCCGCTGGCGGTGACCAACCCGCCTCCTCGGAACGCCAGCGTCCTGCGGTTCATTTCACTGAACGACATGGCGCGCGCCGCCGCCGCCGCCCGGTGCCCCGGCTTGCGCCCGGCCTCGGGCCGCGTCCCGCGCGCTCCCCGCGTCTCCCCCTCCGTTTCGCCCCCGCCCCCGCCCCGGGCGTTCCGGTCTCGCGGGGCTCAGCCTCACCCTCCCGCCCGGCTCGCGCTCGCTCCCGGGGCTGCCGCACGCGTCCGCTGCAGCCGCTGCCGCCGGGCCGCCGCCTCCGGCCGCTCTCCTCGTCCTCCACCCCCGCCCCGCAGCGCTCCGGGCAGCGTCCCGCGCGGAGAAGGGGGCGGGCGGCGGAGCGGTGAGCGGCGAGTCGGGGCGCGTGAGGCCTTCGAAGTTGAGAGGCGGAGTGCGGGAGACCCTCCGCTGCCCCCTCTTTTAAAGCCGCGCGCACACACCGACCCTCCAACAGATATCCTTCCTCCGGCGCGCCGAGGAGTCCCGACGCCGCCGCCGGCTTCCGAGGCGCTGAGGTCGAAAGGCACGCCAAACTGCTGGGCTCCGACACATAAGGAACCGACAATAAAGCCGGCGGAGCGTTTCCGTCCGACCAGGCCCTGGCGGAGGTCGAATGGCAAATGAACAACGGACCTTATATGGGCTTTTGATGTATACTTTACTTATCTTTTGCACATTGGGCTTTAAATTATTTTATATCCAACATGAGATATGTCCATTGAGCCCCCATGTTAAAAAATGTGTAATCTTATGATTGCCTGTACACTAATTCCTGTTTAGGAATATTCATATATGTTGTCCTATTCATTTGTTGTTTTTTGTCCTACTCATGAACATTTTGTTAATCATACATAACTTTTGATAAACGTATAGGATCTCTCAGCAATACCCCCTAAAAAAACTCATTAGGCAATACTAAACCTAATATTACCAAAGATTAAAAGCTCTTTGGAATCTGTGCCTATATGTGAATATCAGATTCCATGTATATTTAAAATATAAGTTTAATTTTCCTTTTTAAATTTGCATGAAATATATTATGTATTCTTGCTAAGATATCCTCATGCATCAACTAGGTCAAAATCAGTATACATAGAACACACCCTATGTCTTTCCCTATCAAAAACACTAAAACATTTTAAAAGGTATGGTGAAAAATTACATGTTATCTGATATACATATTCATTTCAAAACAATAAAGTTCTGACAAAGAATTCAATTTGAATCCTGAACTTATGCTGATACCAAATTCAAATTTTTGGAAAAATCCAATATTCTTATGAACTCCCATGTGTTTTTGAATAAACCATTGAGTATTCAATGGTAATGGTGCCTGTGGATTTTGTGTCTTCTTCATATTTTACATTCTGACATTCCCCATCTAAAAATACTAATAATCATATAACATATATGATACATTTCTCTGTCTCAGAACTAATATATTTGTATTGGATTTTATACATATATTCCTATGTACCTTCTTATGAGTACTCATGAGGGCTGCCATTCACATTCACTATATAACACAAAACCTATTGCAAAAGATAATATTAGACCTGAACCCCTTCTTCTCCCTAATCAACCTACATACTGTGCCCATTACAGTGAATGTTGACATAGACATTGAAATACCAATGGTAATCTTCCTGCATCATCATTAATTGACTTATAGCATGCATAAGTACGTCCTAGTATTCAAAAATATGTACCCAAATTCCCTATATAATGATGCCCTTCAATGATTTAGATTCTATGCAGTTTTGTGCTGGTTCCACTTTTTTACTGATACTGTCTTCTAAATATTCATGTTTTCCAATATGGATATTCTTCCTCTACAATGACTCCTCACCCAAATCAAAACGCATGGTAACCCTAAGCTTATTAAATTACCTCAATTAAGTTTCACAGGAGAGCATATATAGAATTGTTATGGCAATAGAGGTGTATAGGTGATCATGGCCCTACTGAGAGCCTCAAAGTTAGATGCCAGACTGATCCTGAGGAAATATGAAGGCAGCTATGTGCTATGTAGGCCCCGAGAAAACATCTTCCAGGATAAGTAATATATCCAGAAAGAAGGGATGAATCTGAATTCTTAATCCAAATAAGAAGGACAGAACTAGGCCTGTCTAGACAGCTGACCTTGGATAGGTTTGCTTGACTCTGTCAACTTTTGAAAAAGTCACAGGAAGATAGGTGCAGCCTCCGCCTCATGGGGCTCTTGGAAACACCTGGTAGGAGAAAGTGGTTGCCAAGGAAGTGACCTCATCTCACTTTCTTCATTTGAGTGACCTCACCTCACTTCCTTGGTGATGGAACTCTCTTAACAAAGAATAAAGGTATCTAGGCACCCAGAGGCAGATACAGTCTCAGTCTGCTCAGTTGTTTGGCCTCACCCAGTACAGAGTCCTACTTTCTTGATATTTACTGATATATGGTTGGCCAAATGTAATGAAAGCACTAAGGAGGAGGCTTTCCTGACAATGAAGGTACAGGACCATGACATGGTCCTGAAAACTCTGGTGAGTTTTCCCAAGGACACTAGAGCTAAGTATATAGAGGCTATTACAGGTGAATGTAGTTTAACATACCAGTAAGTTGACACTGTGGATGGACACAGACCCTTTTAAGGGATGTGTGTCTATGTGTGTGTGTGTGTGTGTGTTTGTGTTTGGGGATGTGTATTTTGATTTATTGTTTTGTCTCTCATTGCCTGAGAATATGGAGGGAAAAGCATTTGTTCCACTGTTAATTGCCTGTATTTTAGTGAGGTGCTTTGCTGAAGGCTACTATTTCACCATTGATATGTTCCTCTTCATGTGTCATCTTAGGAAGAAGAAAAAAGCATGCAACAGTGGAGGTGTCTGTCAAATGAAAATATTCCAATTGCTCATCCCTGTGAATTAATGAATGGACAGCTGCTTGCCTTGTGGATGGGGAAGACTTATTATGTTCATTTGTTCAAGTATTTCTCATGAAATTTGGCCACTACAGAGAAGATGTTGGTGGATTTATGTCAAAGATGTTTACCACCTCCAAGCCCTCTGAAATGTCCATCGATGGGCTTCATGCAGAGACTCATGAGCATCACTGTGAGACTCAGAAATCACTGTGGAAGGTACAGTTTTCAGAGCAGAACCCTGGCTGGATACATAGATATCCAAGCAGGATGAGCAATAGAAGAAATTTATTGTCCTCGCTTTGGTCCTGTAAAAACCTCTGTCCAGAGCTTTTATTATTTGCTTTATTGCCCTGCTCTACTCATGAGAAGCAGTTTTTGCCTTAGGGCTCTCTTTTGTGAAGCCTCAGGAGAAGAACATTAGAAATTTGCTTGAATGGGTTGCATCTGTTACTCAGTGCTAAAGCAATTGCCTCACCTGAGTGAGGCACTCATTGAGATGCTCCACACAGCTTCGAATTATTAATTATATTGCTTCTCCATCCAAAACTACTATTGTACAAAAACCAAATTGAGTGGAGACTCTCCTTTCCATCATGTGAGATTCCAGACATTCATGAAATTACAACAGTGACCCTTTAGGACCAATGTATTAGTCCTTGCCCTTAAGTTGCTAGGACTTAGATGATTGAGTTTCTTCTAGCTCAATTTACATAAAAAAGAAAATACCTACTATTGGCAAACTGGAGGCCTCTATTTTTAGTTGAAGGGTACTATTAACTATGGGCTCATTTCAACTTCCCTGGATCTCAGAATGGTATCTAGCCCATCATGAATTTAGGCAAATGAGGGGCATGGGTACTTCCATTTGAAACAATCCTGGACTTTTGTAAGTATGGACACATTCAGCCATGTTTTTAGAATGATTGCTTAGTAGGAAAAAGATAAAAGGACTTGGCCCATGAGGGAGGGTTCCTGAATGAATTGTGATTTGTGTGGTGGTTGTAATAGATAGCTGGGTAAACCTCAGTAGTAACAATTGTGTGAATCAAATCACAACATGAGACAAACCTGTTTTCTGGAACTTACCCAAGAAGTGTTACAGTGAATTGTGTTGGAATTTTAGGTACCCCAGCATCAGAGGTGTCTTTAGAAAATAAGAGCAAGACCCAATGTGGAGTTCTCTACCACATTAATAATCTCAGTGATGATTTTACATATTATTCTCTATAAAGCCTTAGGTGTCAAAGTGAGAGCCTGAAGCATACATATTCCATCCATGTTAGACCCATTGAACCTGATGCATGAGGCCTGTTGGATATGATGTGGAAAGCCCTCTAGCATGAGTTCTATAGATGTTAACAGCTAGACAAGATCGCTCACCACTTCTTGGGCCCTGTCTGAATCCAAAACCTACCTAGATGCCTACTTCATTGTTGACATATGCCTATGCCTACATTCTGAATTTTATCTAATTCCCATGAGGTAGAAGCTCTGAAGCACCTTAGGAACTCCCTCTGCTCATCATGACAAAATAAGAGTGGGACTTCATTGACTACAAGTCATTAAAATGCTGGAGATAACAGATCCAGTATGTTTGAGACTACTGATGATGAAGCTAGGGCAGGAAAGAGTAGGTGTTGGCCAAGAAATATGTATCTCTGGCACTGGCTTCCAAGCAATGGCACCAACACAGATGTTATCACACACCTGCACTCCACTGCTCCAGGGCCATTTGCCAATGGGCTCAAAGTCATGGGCATCTCTGTTCTACACTATTTTCATGAAGTCTAGTCAAAAAATCCACTGTCTGGGTCATTCATGAGGAGCCACAAAAGATCCTAAGGTTCTCCAGAGCTTCCTGGTAATGGGAATTTCCAAAAGTTTATGGTATTGGTCTAGCCCTATTTTAAGAATAAAATAGGTGGCACTGTGGGGTTATGATACACTCAGGAGCCATTAAGTGGTGAGGAATCTCTTTTAGATGAATGCTATGGAGAAATCACATGGGCAAGGCTTCCCCAAGAGTTGTCAAAGGTCACATGAGGCCAGGCCCATTCTGGTCTAAAATGTGAGGTTCTGTGTGTTTTGGCTCTCAACAATGGCAGACAAGGCTTTACTAAGAAAATCATGTGATATCCTGGCTGAGATCCCAGTGCTCTGGAGAAAGCCACCCTG